TCTGATCAATAAGGAAATCGATACAGAGAGTAAATCATGTGTCCAAGGTTGTCCAGCTGATAGCGAATCTAGGCTTTGAACCTACATCTGGCACATTCCAGAACTATCCCCCCTCTCCGAGGCCTCTTAACCTCTTATCCTCTTACTGCCAATTGGTCAGTTTTCAAAGAAGTGTCTTGCCCAAGAGCCCTTTTGCAATCATGGAAAGTGGAAATCTACTTAGTCTGAAGAGAGGTGTATTTAAAGAGCCTCTTCCAACTGCAGCTCAACGGGACAATGTATTCGAGTTTACAACCGTGTGCCTGGGCTCAGGGCAGCCCCAGGAGGTCTGGCGCTCTTATCTGATTTCCTGGTGAGGGGGCGAGCGGGGTGCGTGTTTGTGCCAGGGGTCTCTGGGCGCCTGTGCTCTCTGTCCCCTCCCGGCTCTCCTGATTCCTCTCCCTTCCTTTTCCTTATCTTGCTCTTATCAGCGCCGCAGGCATGACAAGCATGTGTGGAGAATGAGGAAGGCCGCAGCAAAGAAGCCGAGAAGCAAGGGGTCAGGACTCTGCTGTGACACATCGCTCCCCATAGTTAAGGGGTCTGGTAACCTCCTGGAGGTTTGGGAACTCGTTTTTCCACATAAAATGGAGTAAGGGTGGCCAATAAGAGAGCATATACTTAAACGCCAACATTTTCCCAGTCTTTCCTTTCCCACAAGCTAGCTGAGAAAACAGATAACATGTGCATTCCTGATTACTCGCCTGACCTGAATATTTATTTATCCTAGGTACACCCACACTACTTCTAAAAAGAGCACTTTGCCCAACCAATCATTATTAGAAAAGTGGGTTAACAGAGTGAGGTAATGAGAGCGAGTCTTTCAAGAGAATCAGATCAATGATCAACACCTTCATTAATCTTCGAAGATTCCATAAGTTTCCTGTATAAAAATATACAAACTATGAACCACCAGCCACGTGGACTGAGAGAGAACAGTGACCAGGAGCTTCAATCATTCCATCACCGAGAAGTCTCATGACATGAAGCAGAGGACCTGACTGGCTGGACTTGGGGGAAATGGCCCCCTTTTACATGCAGAGAACACACGGGCCCTGCAACCCACAGAAGGAGAAACTCCAGAGGGACAGGAGGCTCTGCAAGATGAACGGAATCGTGACTCATCCCAGGGAGGTGGCAACAGGGACAGATCTAAAGAAGTTATTGTGTTTTTCATGACATGTTTGGATAGAGAAGAACACATACAAAGATAGAAGGAAGGGCATGGTACCAAGGACAAGTTGAGAAGAGTGACACATTTCTGTGAGAACAGTGCCTGGCTTGAGCTGAGGCTTACAAAAAAAAAAGCTAAAGTTAGCAAAAAAAAAAGGTGGTGTAGTGGATTATTCCTAGTTATGATTTAAAAAGAGATGATGCTCATGACTTAGGGTTCATGGTAGCATGTTAATGGAGCACAGAGAAAGTAAGATGACCCAACTCCTGACTAGCCTCTCCGTAAAGGCAACACGGTCTTGACTAGAAAGATTTCAAGCAGGGTCACTAGAAGAGCACGGGACCTGAAGCGGGGGAGTGGGGGGGCTGTGTCCTCTCAGCCGCTTGAACTTCGCATCTCCCGGCCCTGCAGGCTCCCATCCCAGGCCCCTGGACAAACCCACAGAAAGCATAACAGAGCCAATGTATTTAATCCCTGAAAAAACGAAGGGAGGCTGGGAGGGCTCCAAAAGATTGTTGTCAGCAGATGTCCCAATTTACCCAGGGGGAAAAGACACCGTTCCCACTATACAGACCAATAGCCTGGCAAGATTGTAATGAAAATGTAATTTAGAGAAGGTTTTTGAGCCCTTTGAAAAAGATGGGTATTGAGAACGAACACAGGTTTGAGAAAAACAGACCGAATGACTTTATTGACTTAACCGCCCCCCCCCGCCCCCACCATAGGCTACCCAATGGTTCAGGCAGTTAATGTGTATCTTGACATCAAAAAAAAAAAAAAAAAGAAAAAGAAAAAAATATATATATATATTGGCTCTGGATCTATTTAGTCCCTGACAACCCCGGCTTGCGGGCTTGCGGGCTTGCGGGCTTGCGGGCTTGCGGGCTGACTGGCCTCATGGATCCCTACGACTGGGCTTTGGCCATTCTTGAGCCTCGCATACCATCTCAAGCTGTTTGTCTTTCGACACTCAGCGCAAATGGCACCTCCTCTGGGAAACTTTCTCCTCTGCCCAGGACGACTTACAAGTCCCCACTCTAGTCTGGTTGTTTGCGTTCTCCCGCACTCACATGTTGGAATCCTAATGTCCAATGTGACGGTGGTAGAAAGCGGGGGCTTTGGGAGGTGATTAGGTCATGAGCGGGGGTGGCCTCATGAATGGGATCCGTGCTCTCATGAAAGAGACCCCACGGAGCTCCCTCCCCCCTCTGCCATGTGAGGATACCACCGGAAGACACAAGGAGAAGTCCGTGACCGGGAAGAGGGCCGCCACCCAACCACACTGGCACCCCAGTCTGACTTCTAGCCTCCAGAGCTGTGAGCAATACATTGTGCTCTTTACAAGCCACCTAGTCTGTGGAATCTTGTTATAACAGCCCGAACAGATGAAGACAATCCCTTATCCGTGCCCACCAAGCACGCGGGGCACTCCACTATCACAGAACCCCCCCCCCCCGGGTGCAACAGACAGCCTTCCTTCCTTATCTGCCTCCCTCAGTGCCTCCGGGCCCCCGAGGGCGTTTGTGTTCCCAAAGCCCAGCACAGTGCCAGGCACACAGGGGACCCCCAACGCCTGGTGATTGTTTGCACGAGTTTTGCTGAGAGGTTCAAGGTCAACCCGAAGGGAGTTGTCTCTGCGTTCCGTAGGCTTCTGCCTGTCTAGACTTTATCAGTGACTTGGAGGAACATTATACTTTCAGAGACTATAAAGCTGGCCAAGAAAGATGATTAGATAAAAGGCTCAAGGTTCAAGATCGAACAATGTACAGGCTGGCCACAAAGCATGAAAATGCAGATTACTTTTTTATATAGATTTGTTTTCCTTGATATTTGTGTGGCATGCTAAAGGCATATCTTGTTTGTTTTGTTTTGGGGTGAAAATCAGAGACAGATCATCTGAGGCAACGCAGAACAGAGGAAGATGCAGGCGCTGATGGAAATGTGGCGTCGACGCACCATATTCCTGGCAATTTTCTACCGTGCTCCGAACCATGCATTGCTAATGAAGGTGATACATTGACCATATCATGTAATGTCACTGACCGTATCGTACATTATAAGATCGGCAAGCCATTTATTATGTCTGTTCTTCTACGTTTCCAGACTTCGTGGCTACTCTGTAGAAAGACAACTGACAACCAACTATACAATTTTAATAGAAATATTCATGAAGTTTTATATTAGGTCTCAAAAAAATCAACTGGCTATCTACATACAGTATGGGGAATGTCTGGCTTTATTCATCCATCCACACATCCATGAATCCGTCCAACCATACTGAGCACTCACTATGTGCTAAATACTTACAAGAATGTACAGATTTAGTGGACAATGAACACTGTCTTCCCTGAGCTTATGTCCCAGTAGTGGAAAATGGATAATAAGTAAGCAAACGAAATAATTTCATATGTTGATGAGGGCCATGAATACAATAAAGCAATGTGTGATGGGGACAAGGGACAACTTGGATTAGGGGGAGGTGTGGAGATGCATCTCTGAAGCTTGCAGGACATTTATGTAAAGAAGAGCCTGGTGGCGCTGGGCTGGTCATTAGCTCGACGTGAGTCTAGGATGTGCTGTGACTGTTGAAAATAAACCGAAGCTCGGGTCATATTAATAGAAGTAGACTGATGGGATCAAGGGCAGTGATGATCCTTCTGCCTCTGTAGCAGTCACACCATTTCTAGACCCACTTCCGCAGCTGCAAATGCTCTATATTTTAAGAGAGTCATGGAGTGCATCCAGAAGAGGGGTCCAGAAACCACATCTTATAAGGCAAGGTTGAGAGAAGTAGGGGAGTTTAGTTTGCAGAGTTTAAACTCATCTTTAAAATATCCGAAGATTCAAGATGTTCAGAAGAGAATGAGCCCATGCTTTGTGGTTTTAGGAGTTCACACCTCAACTATTGAGAAGATAGCACAGTGTAGCTCAAAAGAGGGGAGATGTCTCTAACAGAATTAGAGCTATACAGAAATGGGATAGGCTTTTTGAAGAAGTGAACCCTCCACCCTCAGAAGTAATCTAGTAGAGGCTGGGTAACGTCTGTTAAAGATGAGGGATCCCCATGTTGGGTAAAAGATTAGGAATGGGGTACAGTTTTGTTTCTTTGAGTGAGAGATCTTGGGAATCATGGAAGGCCTGCCTTGTTAGAAGTGACCTCACTTCTCCTCATTTACCACGATTTTCAAGACCCAACCCATGGGGACCAGGAATTCCAAGACTCCCAATAACAGAATTCAACTAGAACAAATGCACGATCCTTTGCTCAAGCCTCCCCTGTGTGTGTGTGTGTGTGTGTGTGTGTTTGCATGTGCGTGTAAGCAAAGCTGTCTGAACTTACCACCCTCTGGTATGAGGTGACTGTTCGTTGAGGCTCAGGTCAAAGGCTCAGCTCTATCTAGGAGCTCTGTGGCATTTCCTCTTAAGGCAGAAAACCTCTCCCTTTCTCTGGAATCTGGATCTAACTCGGGCAGACAGGTGGCTCCCGTTCTAACTGCCCTTTTAGGGCTATGTTTTCACACAAAGTTTTAACTGAATTCTAAAGTGTATTCAGCCAATTTAATTGCTTGGTGTAATCATTTTATGACTATGATTTGATAGTATATCAATTCTGTCTTGTATTTTCTCTGGAGGACCAGAGACCAAATCAAAACCCACTAAGATGAAGGCTTCAGGCAGTGATTACCTTGAATCCCAGACCAATATATTTTTTTGTCTATTTACTTGGGAAGTGTGTTTTGAAGGACAGAGCAGAACACGGGCTGTGAGATCAGTGAAAAACCCATACCTGAGCCACAGACAACAAAAACAAACAGTGCCAACAGCCATGGTCCCACGGGATATTTCTCTTCTTGTGGCCTCTGAAAGGGAACGGGGGAAAGGAAGGTTAGGTTCATTGATTCAGGAAACATTTGTGGGGTAATTACTAGACGCTACTGAAGGCTGGGGATGCCACAGTGAGTGAGACGGATCCAGTCTCCATGCCCAGTGGGCAGACGTTGATGAAGAAATTCAATTGTAAAGGGTCCAGATAGGTGTGAAAAGATTCATCATAAATTTATTTATACTCCTGTAACTCAGTGAACTCGGTGGGCTTAAATATTCTGGGGACAGATGGGGTAAAAATACACAAACCAGTACAGCGATTTGGGAGGCCCAAACGATACTGCTACAAATTGCTTCCACGTGTTGAAGGCACACTCTAAGCCAGGCTCTCTAAGGCACACTCTAAGCCAGTCTACATCGCCTACTTCCACCACTCACAAGGCCGTGCAAGGCACATTCTTATCTCCAATCTGTAATTGGGAAAAGGACACGAAGTCTGTTCACTTGAGCAGGGCTGGGATGTAGGTCTGCCCCATCGGAGAACCTGGGTGTCTTCCATTAATAGAGTCATCTTTAATTGCCTGAATCGGTGGATTCCAAGTAAGGTCACAGAACAGCTATTTTCTCAAAACCTTCGACGGGCCAAAAAGTGTTGGCAAGTTGGTGCCGTGGAAATCCTTGGAATGGCAGAAGCACCAAAGCAACTGTGAGTGGATCTGCAAAGGTAGCAGCCTTTTGTAATAAAGCTCCTGAACCTCAGTGAAGCTTTCTCTTTGGCGAAATCTCTGCGTTCCTTAGGGAGCAGAAGGGCACCATGGTGCCCACACGAACCCAGAGCCCTGCGTACCTCCTGCTCCCCTCAAACCAATAGCACAGACATAATAAGAACAACCATCCACAACCCCTCTAGGTCTATTTGCAGTAGGGCTTGGTCCTTAAGATCAAATCGATCAGTGGGAAAACTATTTTTAGAGAGAGGCATCCAAAAAAGTGGTGAATTTCTCAAATAAAAAGGGAGAAGCTGGAGTGAAAAAAATAAAGAACTCACTAATGTTTCCTCATGTGTGTGAGCCAAAAACAAGCTATCACCAACGTAAATTAGAGAACTCATTTTATTACAGATAAGCAACAATGCTTTGGTTCTCAGCTTGCCTGTTACATGCTGAGAGAGCCTCCTCTCCTCTACCCCAAGTGGGCTCACTGACCACTTATGTATCAGCAGGTATGTTTTCTTGACGGCAGCTATCACAGCTTGTATGTTTATTCTCGTGATAATGTGTGTACTGTCTGTCCCTCCGCCAGACTATGGGCTCACGAGGACAGGCACTGTGTCTCTTTCCTGTTGCAATGCACAACAGTGCCTGGCACGGAACTTAAACACAGTAGGCGCTAAATCAGTGTTCATCGAAGAATGAATAAGCATACGAACTTCATTAAATATGATTTCTTCGGTCAGGTTGAGTAGAGACGGGGTCTAGGAAGGATATTGTCGTTTTTTATAAATACTTCCTAACTGGTGATAGGGTTGTCCCTGCATCTCTCTTACTAGAGAAGTATAGGTTAAAGTGCTAATGGCAGGTAGACTCTGAAGATGAAAACCCCTCAGTACTCTGTGCTTGACAAGCTTGTATCTAGAGCCGCTCTTGCAGGAGCGAAGCACCTGGAATGGTAGCTGTGCTTGACCAGACAAGGACACAATCAGTCTTACACAACTGCCTAACTTTACCCAGTGCAGTTACTGTGTCGTTCTTTGGCCCTTAACACCAGATCAAGGGTAGATCAAGTAAATAATCGAGATATTAAATAAAGTGACCTGAACACAGTGCGACACTTACCCCTCCCGACCCTCTTTCACTAACGCCCTAACAATCTGTCAGAGTTGACCAGAAGCCAGCTCCGTTGCTGTCATCCCGCTGATGCTACATAAAAAGTTCATTTAGCTCTATCTCCAGCAAAGCCAACAAGTGAATTCAGGAGCCTTGTACATGAATTACTGGTCTAGCGCGGATACCGAATGGAGTCCATTATTTTTCCTTTGCAGAAAAACACAAATTATCAACATGCAGAGTTTGGACTATATAACTCCAGAATCTGTTGGATGACATTTTCCAGTGAATCAATATTATTTGGGGGACTTTCAGAGCTCAAGAACAGTAATATATCCTTTTTCTGAGAGCTTTAAGTTCCTCTTTTTTGGAAGCAGCCCCCAGCACAATCCCATTGGGGCAATGCACCCAAGCCTGAATCTATCGCTGGGAAAGGTAACAAAAGCAGTAGAATTCTGCAAATAACATGGTTCATTTCAAACAGGAGTTTGCTACTTCCCCAGGCTTCGGAACGTCAGGGGCTGGCTTTCCCTGTGATTACATACCAGCAGGGTAACTCTGAACTCTGAAATTTAAATCCCTGTCTGTTCTAGAGAAGTTACTACTGTGTAACCACAAAATGATTATTCTATTTCTTTGTTTCTTTGATTTATCTGCTATCTGGGAGAACAGTATTCACTCCATAGCTATTAGCTAAGGAAATATTGAAGCATCTGCATACAACTGAAGGGGTTTATTTCTGAATGATTATTCTGAATTTTCAGTTAGAATCTGTTCACGTGTCCTCAATTTCATCCTGAACAGGTTATCCCTTGCAAGTTACTTCTTTCAAAGTATAATTGTGTTTGACCTGTAATTAGGAAAATGAGATTTAGGGTTTAAAATATTTCCTTTTGAAAGAAAATTTCATTTTTCTTTTTGGATGCTGGTCCATTTACAATAAAGTTAACCAAAGAGCCCTTCTAACCACCTGAAGATAAACAGAGATTGTGGCTTGGTTTGGAAAACTTTCATTACAAATGTAATAGGGCCGTTTGGACACCCGCATGGGTGCCAGGCACCATTCCATGGTCTATCAGAACCTATTAAAATTCACTCGCATCATAGATTAAACAAATCTGAATGCAGCTCTGAAAGTTGAGTTGAGTTGAAATGGGGGTAAGTACATTTCCTAGATATTTAAACATTTTCCTCCAATTTTTAAATTTTCTTCTTATTTTGAACACAGTAACTTTCCCTTTCCCCCAGGCCTCAAACACCTTCCAATGGCCTTGAAAAGCTGGAGGTCTCAGACATTGAGCTTACCAAGCCTAATGGATACATCGGCTCTGCAAATCAGTTCCCCAGTTGCTACTTTTGCAGGCGGTATTCGTCAACTGAGTTCAGTTAATAACTTTCCTAGTTCTTTAGGTTCTTGGTTCATTAAAAAGAACCACACAGCTAATCTGTATGATATCTAGGACGAAGTGATCTCCTAGGGATATAAAACCCTGAGTGCTTTAACATCAATTAAAATTTGTTTTTCAAGGTCAACTTGGAGAGCACGGTTTGTTTTTTTCTGAGTAAAAACAAATAGGGAAAATAGATCTTTGTGAAAAGTGGTTCTGATTCAATGGTATATTTGCATTTTACTGCAAGGTGATAACTAAATGATCTAACACCCTATGAGAGAATTTCAAGCGTAACTTAAGTCTGGAGCTGTGTATAAAGCTCTGGGTAGAGCTGAGTTTGATCCTAAGGTTTCTCTGCCTTAGTACTGCTCAGTTTTGTAGGAATTCTGCTGTGATGATTGTAGCTCTAGCTTTTTGCTCAGTTACTCAAACCAGCATCATTTCTTTGGCTAAAAGGAATGGCCTCATCAGGTCTGCAAGCTTTTCCAGCCAAACCCCAAGCTTCAGCTGGACTTCGCTTAAGTGTTTAGGATAATAGATTCCAGGTGCTTTGGCTCACAGACTTGGAGACCCAACACTGCCCAACAACTCATCCCAGGCATGCCTCTGAATGTCCAAAATCACTGGTCTGGCATTTTCTCTTGAAGATATTCTGCTTTGCTAAAAGAAACCCCTGTGCATAAGGCCCAGATTTTACTTTAAAATCCAGTTATAAAAGCTTTAATCTGGCCTCCAAAGTTCTGGATCATACCATTAGGATGAGCCAAAACTCACAGGGTGAACAAGAGTAATGTTGCATTTAAACTTCAGCCCAGTGGTGAGAGGTCCCACTAGGGAAGAGGCAAAGGAGAGAAAGGAGGATGAAGGGAAACGGGTCTGAACCTCATTTGGCACTTTGAGCCCTTCCAATTTATACAGACCCATTACAAAGGGGCTGGAGAGAAAGCTTAATCTGTCTGCTGAGGGTGGAGGGCAGGGGTCAAAGCCTGCAAGAAGGTGATGATAAGTGGTCTCCATTTACCTATTCATTCATTCATTCATTCATTCACCAAACGTTCTAGCACCTACTAGGTTCCGGGCCCCGTGTCACGCACTTCCTTTAACTGTTCCTTAAGGATGTGACTTTCCGTTTTTCCCAGAGACAAAGGCCCCATTGTCTCCTGGGGAGGCTCTTCCGAGCCTCGGTGGTAGCCCCAGCAGCCACTCCAGAAGGGCCACCACCACCCTGACCCTCGCCGCCCACGAGAGCACCTCGTGGTGCTCGCCTCCCAGAGCCCGGCTCTCAGCTCCCACTCCGCGGGACCCGGCGGGAGGGGTGGGAGGGGCGGGCTGGGCCCGGGGCAGGGGAGCAGAGAGG